AGCACTGTATCAAAGGAAAGCTTTTCACCTTGGGTGGAAAGCTTTTTTATAAGTGAACTTCCAATCTTAGAATTCCAGCCTGGTTCAAATCTTGAGTAAATGAGAAAATTAAAAATGAACTGATTCTAAAAAAGCTCTGGTTTGCCACTATGCAACTAACTAACTACCGCAACTATCTAAGATAGGCTACCCTACCAGCATTATCATACAGAAGAGGCGTGTAATGCAGCCAGCATCTTCATATTCTTCACGGCTTTTGACACAAAGCGCCCACCGTGAGCCTACTCCTAACGTAACCTAATCAATCTAACCTAACCTGCACTGCCTGACCTGTTGCCGTGTTGCGCATCGGCCAGTTGTGCTCCGGCAGTCAGCTGAGTCAGGCACTGTGAAGCAGTGGCTGTGTTGTGCAAAGCGGATTTACTGTTAGCCGGAGTTAGGTACCCACAGCTCATTGATCTGAGGCTAGGTATGTGTAGTCTGTAGATATTGCATCATTTGCATGCTATGAGCTGATGGTTGGCAACGTTGGGCCCAGCCCCAGGGCCTGTTTTAGGCTGTTTACGAGTCAATTTTGTTACCCACGGCTGCGCTCCCAATGGCATGTCCATGGATATCATGGATATGGAGAGGTGTGGACATATGGATATGGTAATATCCTAATCATATCAATAATTATTAGGCAGAACCATTGAACCACAAATAATGGAGTTCATTCCTGAATCTGATCATGGTTTTAAACAAAGATATTTCCCTACCCACCTACCATCAAGTGGGGTGACTTTTGCCACTGGGGGTCACTTTGGCTATCACTACAACAGAAAGTCAGTAACAAATGGCAGCAAAACAAAATAATAAACGTTGGCCAAAGTGACTGGGGTGACTTTGGCCATTTTGTTTTGCTGCTATTCATTTCTGTTGTGGTGGCCGAAGTCACCCCAATTGATGACACCAAATGAGAACTAATTTAGAAAATCTAAAAGAATCCATTATTGTAAGAGCAAAAATTTTAGTGTGACTGTGGCAACTGGAAATAGTGCCTATGCTATGCACAATTTCTCCCTAGACCTGATATCTGCCAAATTTTGCTATGTAAATTTATTTGAGGAGCACTTTCCCCCTCCCAACTCCAAAAAATTACTTATAAATTTACCCTATCACCTGTAGTATATATAGTCTTGATAAAAATTAACCCTTGATTATATTTCAAATTCACAGCAAATCCAAAGAAATCAATCCTCCCAGCTCAAATTTCTTCCAACAAAGTCAACTGTCTCTCATTATATATGGGAGATAAATCAGTCATTTTTGGTTGTCCCATATATTATTAACACTTTGTGTTTGCAGATTTGTAGAAAAATCTTTCTCTCTTTGAAAATGATCTATTGGCCTTTTACATGAATTCAATTAAATAACTGAACTTTATTTTTATAGAAATTCAAAATTCTTTTACAGCAGTAATAATTATGAAGGTATGTAATCAAAATAGTAATAAGGAAGTTAAAATTATGTTTATGGTTTTGGATGAATAATTAAAATGTCTAAAATAAACTAAACTAAAACCTTGAATGAATAAAGTTTTATAAAAATTTCAATAATATATTTATGCTTTATTAGCTACAATATTGTGGTAGGAAAAGTTTTGCTCACATTACCATTAAATTTCAATAACAATGACTTATTAATTAATTATAGCAATGTCCTAATTAATTGCAGTGTATTAATTCTCTTCTATTCTCAATTTCAATAAAATAACACAATTTTTCTAATTGCAGTCATCACTTGAAAGTTTTGGTGCTCTTCCAATGCTATTGGACATGAGCACCGAAGAGTGCCTGGGTGCTCTTCGTTCACGAGGTAAGCAGAGGTCTATCACCAGAATGCATAATTTTGCAACATTACAATTTATATGGATATATGATGCATATAAAGTCTACCAAGGCTAATATTCAGTTCTGTACATACTGAAATTTTTTTGCTAAGTTTAAAATAAACTGTTTTCTGAAAAATTAAAATTTCACAGATTTAATTAATGACAGTGCCAGTTATCTGTTCAAGGAACCATTGGTGGCTCAGGTAGGGTATGTTATTTAGTACACCTGGGGACTCAGTTAATGGTTTTGATACAAGTTCTTGAAAAAAATAAGCGGAAATTATTGACTACCGCTATCAATCTTTTACTTCAGATTAATTTATTACAAAATATTCAATCTATCAAGGTAGCAGAGAGTGCTGATTGATGAATGAATTGGCATATTGAGCAGCCTAAGTGAAGAACATAGAATTTCTCTGAATTTATTTATTATTTTATATGAAAAGTAATTAATATTTTGAAGTTTGAATTTTTGGTTGATTAACCATTACCCATTTGTCAAAAAAATACCTATATATATATATAAATACCTACATATATTTTTTATGTAGATGAGAACAATATTGAATTAAGTCTAAAGAATGCATCAGAGGTCCACCAAAATCTTCTCAATTAAATTTGGTTGTGCAAAAAACCTGAGTTGCTTGCCATTGCAAAATATGATCAAATTTACTTGAAAATTTCTGTAAATTTTCCTCCTCAGTAAGTATTTCTTCAAGATTATTAATTTGCTTTGAATGCACAATAATGATGAACTGGATATTTCACCCAGTACAAGCAATCAAGGTAGGTACTAATTCCCATGCATGTCTAGAAGCATATGTTTGTTTATAGTAATCTAATTTAAGAATTTTGTCAATAATAGACATTGCTCGATATATTTTACATGTACAATATAAATTATACACTCTTCTAAAGAAATCATCTATTATTTTATTCACACTAAACTTTTCTTACAGAGTTGTTGGCTTACAGCCACATGGTTGGTGTGTTTCGCGCACAAGGGGAGCTCAGCAAAGAGAAACGTAAAATTCTTAGTGAAATCCAGCACTTGCTTGGCATCACTCCTGAGAGACACAAGGCTGAAGTGCGCAGAGCTGTGAGCGATGAAATTCTCTACACCATTGCTCACAGGTATTGACAACAAATGCAGCTACACTTCATATAATGTATTTTATTACTTCCAATATTAAATGATAGACTAGTACCATAGTGTGTGATGCAATTATCAGGAAGTTGGAATCCAGTTGAATAACTTTCAAATTGCATTGATGCTCTTATATAAAGTTTTAGTATACATGGAAATAGAAAGCACCTTAAGTAACATTACATTTTTATTGCTAGTTTGAATGTCTTGGACTTGTAACATTCTGGTTAAAAACCATTGTGTTGGTGTTTTAAGTTTGCTAAGATTAAGAAAGCTGTTGAATAAAAAAGAAATCAATTTTGAATTATGGATGCTACATGGTAGACTTGATATTTGTGTTAACTTCCCAAAAAAATGATTCTTCACCGTTTTACCTTGCTGTTGCATTTATTTGTCTCTACTGCAGACTTTGTGGTGGCAATACACAGGCCGATTGGGCAATAGAAGCTCGGCGGCTGGTGCCCCTATTACCAAGAGCTATTCCTCAGGTGATGGTCCTCTTTATGGACATATTTAACTGATATATCATAATTTGTATTCTCTGCAAGTTTTCTAGAAAAGATTGAAAAGCTTTTTCATTACATCTTAATTTCTCATTAAATTTACAAAAGGTAGTTTGCTGCTAATAATTTTCATTTTTGCCATGTTTTCTCCTGTAGAAATGCAAAGAAACCTCAAATTATGGTTATTTTTGTCTTACTTTATTTGGGTTACTATATTCACACCTATTTATATCTTGTTCAGATTGCTTACACAGCATATGCTACAAAAATGGCACAGCAATATTTCAAGATGAATATGAGTAAGCCTCAGCCATCAGAGACAGGCCAATACTTGCAAACTGAGGGTGAGTAATACCGTAGTCTTTAATTCACACTGGGGTGTGCCACACAACATAATTGAAGAACATGATTGAAAATGACAAAAGCTTCCTTGAGGATCAGCATATATAAGCTAAAAAGCCAAGACTAAGATAATTTATTGTTACATAAGCTTCTAAATAATGTGAAATTTTGTGCTAATATAGTCAGGGTTGCTAATAGGTACAGTTTTGAATGCATCAAAATCATGTAAAAAGTGATGCTGCTTGGAACTACTGATTTCCTCCTAAAAAATAAAGTTGCTGTTATTAGCAGGGATACTATGATGCTGCTAATAACAAATCCCAATGTCCCATCTTCTAATTTCACTTTGGAATTCGGGAAGAATTCAAAATTTACTTCTTTTAAAAGCTCTGAAAATGTTAGTGCTCTGATTAAATAAATTTTGCCCCAGTTTAAACTTGAAAAAATTTTGTCAAATTTTAAAGAATTTTGTAATTATACATGGAATTTTGTCTGATTGAATTTTTATTCCGAAGTATCAAATTGATTAGTCCAAAATTAAATGCAGTTACTGAGCATTTAAACTGCAGGCAATCTTTGCATTCTTCTATGAATTTGTAATTGGCAATCTGATTGAAGCTATTCATTGCGTTTTGTCTTTGCTCAACGTAAATCTTTGCCAGATTTTGGTCGCAGCTCTGATTCTACCGAGAGTGATAACGAAACAGAAGGTTTGCGGTACCTCACTGATGACATGATGCCTTCCAAGCTGCAACGCCACCATCGTGCCAAGAAGAAAAAGTCTAAACGCAGGTGTATATCATTTTACTTTATTATGCCTTTATATATTCGTTCATAATGTATCGCTCTTGTAAATCAATTCATTTTTGTCCTTTGAGTGATATTGTATTGAATTCTGATTCAGATAAAATAATTTTGACCTAACTTTTCCTACAGTACATTTGATCTGCAAATAAGGTTATTTGACCTCACACGTTCTTCATGACAGAAACAGCGCCGGTCATACACGCATGGTCAGTCTCAATCCTGCTGCTGAGCCTGCTGCTGCCTCCCACAAAGGTTCTGGACACAGCTCCACGAAGACGTACATAGACCCACCTTCTCCAGACTCCAGGAAACGGCGAAGATCTTCATCTCTGGAGCACATTGTCCCCCCCAGCGTACCCATACTGACGCCCCAGTCCCCACCTATGCCACTGCAAACTCCAGGACCTGGTGGCCCTGCTGAGCCATTCGACACGCCTGGGGCCTTCGAAGATGGGGACCCTGAGGCTGATATTGGGCCTCCATTGGCAAAGCAGGTATGTTGTTCAGACATTCTTAAATGTATTGACATTTGTTCAATAAATTCACTGGGTGCTTCTTCATTGTCAATAACAATTCAACTTCAAAAATTTTCACATTCCTTTGAAATTTTCACTGCTTGACATTTGGGGAATCATTTTCAGGATAATTTTGGCATTAGATATCAAGATTATTTATTGTTATATTTATTATATCTTTTGACTAGTCAGATGCATTAAAAAATTATATTTCCTGGAATGCTACAAGTATCGTGAAAATGGGACTAAACTCTAAATTTTTTCATTCTCTAACAGAAACACTGTAAATACTGATGGTGCTATCTTTCGGTAGAAATGCTTGCGGTATTATTACCGCCTTTACTTTGTATTTCTGTACAGTAATGTATAATCATTCAAGCAGATTCGCGCTTCTGCCAAAAGCGGCCCGTCGGCTCGGCAAGCTATTCCAACAGCACCGCCACCTCCTCAGAAGGTGCTTTTGATTATATGACTAATATCCCAAGTCTCTTGGAAAATGATTTACGAGCTAAAATATTTAAGTACCCCTACGTATTTAATGGCATTAATATTTCAATTTTTCTCATTAGGTACGGTATTTGCCCCTTTTGCAAGAATGTTTTGAATTTTGCCCGCTTAAATTGGGTAGGAATTAGTTATATTTTATTAAATTAAATATATTCATTTTTCTAACAATGTTACTTGATATAACTCTTTTATTATAAGTTTATGATTGTGTCTCAAAATAGTTCATGTTAACAACTCCTCTATGCTAAGTATTAGTCACCATTTAACATTGTCTATAGTTAAGAACTAAGAAATATTGTACGTGCAGGTGATACTCGTGTCTACGTCAGTGGCGAGTGGTAACTCGGGAGGCGGCAACCGTGTTCAGAAAAGCAGTGCAACTGTCGCAAGTTCAGCTGCTGTGCCCTCAACTGCTGCTGCTACCCGCGTTCCTGCTGCTGCAGGACGACCTGTTCTGCAGGCCACGACGTCCTTACGTCCTGCTAACCCTACGCCTGCCCCTGTTGGGGGTGTGGCCGCGCCTGCTCAGGTTGTGCAGCCCAGCAGACCTGTGCCTCAACAACAGCAGATCCAATATACTGGCGAGTCATGTTAATTAGTATAGAATTCTTGACGTTAACATTGGGACGAACATGGTAACAATAATCTTTATGGTAGCAATAATCCATGGTATCTCGAATCTTGATTCCTATTGAATAATATCAGGTTATCGTAGTCTTGATAATTTTTATTATTTAGATCAAAATGATACTGTATTTTTACCTCGATACGCGCTCTTGCCCTCATGAAACCTTGGTACAGATGATGGTTCTAGGCCGCGCCATACAAATGGCTGCAGATTTTTCACTTAATTACCTGCACTGAAACTATTACATCAATATTTTTATCTTAAATACTGTGTTCTAATGGAGCTACTACCGAACAGGTGTGGGCGCTCAGGCAGGACCTCAGCCTGCATTAGGAGGGGGCGTGGTCATGACCCGCGTGAGGCCTCGCTTATCTGGGCCTAGCCCCCTGCCCTCTAAATGTGGCCCTCATCGTCCCTTCAGACCAGGCTCTCTCCACCCTGACGGTGAGCTTACTGTCTTGCACTTGATCAATTGCTCTCAAAATTTCCTAGCGTGTTATCCCAATTCTATGCTCCACAATAAGCTGCTTACTCCTTACACGAGTGTTGTTAGTATTGGAATTATACTTCGTAGAATTATTCGCCCAAGTTGAAGAGTTGAAGTATCACGATATTGCCCCAGAGTCTTATTTACTCTCGGTTTAAGAATCGCTAATTTACCCTTGAGTCCAATTGACTCGCTTAACATTAACCAATCATGGTACTAGACCCTATTACTATTATAACCTTGTGTGAGAAATGCGAAGTCATAATAAAGTAAGTAGACAGATAGTAACCGAGCCTTAATTGGGCCTTGAAACTCTTGCCTACTTGCATGTAAAGGATTACCTACCATATAACATGTGTAAAATTATTGAGACTCGAGTATTTTCATCAGTTGTAGCTCAAGGAAAAGCCAGAAGCAATGATCACGAATAATTTCCTCTATGTAACAAATGTGTTCTTTGAATAATTCTAAAATATTTAGTATTTCTGACATGCTTGTTTTTATTGGAAATTCTACTTTTTATGATGAGTCGCATGTATTCCACTCCTCCCAGGCTATGAAGCGACTGGTGGACCTGGCTTCCCTCATTCTGTGATGCCGCAGGCTCCTGCAGTCCAGGTTATTGCATGATTCATCGTGGAGTTTATTTTATTTTTTTATCAATAGGTTTGACAGATATTTGTGTTATTTTAGTGATACCACACTTTTTGCTCGCAAACTGTATACGGTACCGGTATACCTTCTCTACCTATGACTATGTTAAATTAACTACCCAGGTTTTTGTCATTTTTTGTTTGTACGATTTTGATTTAAAATGTTTCATCTTAATTAATGAAAAAAAAACACAAATTTGTATCCCTGCATCAACGAAAGTAAAAACTGTTTCTCCGTCAATATAATAATTTTATGTTCTTTCAGAAACAAAAATCATTTTATAACAACAATAGAAACCATTTTTTGGTGACAGCAAAAACGATTTATTGACGCACATCTGTTTGTCAGGTCCGTGCTGGGGGTGGCGCGGTTGCCAATCCCCCAGTTTTGTCGTTGCCACGCCCTCTGACCCCCGCCAACTGGTCCTCAGACGGCGCCCCTGCCTGCACTGTCATGAACAGACTCGTCGCTACAGGCAGGCTCATCACACGACCTGCCCTCGTCCACACCACCACCGCCCCAACACCGGCGCACCCTCCACACCAACACGTTATTGCTGGCACAGCCACTGCAGTTTATCATCAACCATCTTCCGTACATCATCATACACATCCGGTGCAGCATCAAACTCAACACGTTGTGCAGCATCAACCGAACACACTGCAGCTACAACCTCAGCAACAAGTTTTAACTTCAACTCAGTCACCACCACCACAACAACCACCCAACATGTTCGTGGTGACCACCAACTCCAGCACCATAACGGTGGTGACGCGCACTGTCGCTGCCCCGCATCCAGTTATGAACACCTGTGAGTGTCTTGATAATTGTTATCCCGACCTAGTTCCCTTATTCCTAGCTCATTTCCTACTAGATGCGAGAACTATTTATAAGGATTATATTCAAACCTTTTTTGCCTAAAAACATGCAAGTATGATTGAATTTAATCATGTATAGATTCTTCGCTGAATAAGAAAAACATGAAAGCGAGCAAAAATAAGCTCATGCTTACGGTTGCTGTTGGTGTCTGTATTTATGCTCAGAGTCTAAAGCCAGGAATAGATGTTTGCTGTCTAATGTCAGGGTTTGCAGTTAAAATTGAATCTACAAAATTGCAGCCTATCATAAGGATTTAAATTAAAACCTTTTGCTTGCACTTGACCGTTTATACTTGCCGACAACGTTTTGGTTTTGCTGCCAAACGCTTTGTTCCACTTTTAGGATTGTGACCAATACTGATGTCTACAGTCCAATATTTAATAACATTTAAAAACACACACTAAGATTTGAGAACGGATTGGAATCAGCGATGAGACGTAACCTGTGTACTGTCTATGTCCATTATAAGTAATTAATTAGTTGAATTACAAATATTTCCTTACCTTGTTAAAAGCCTCGCACTCTGTCACTACTGTCACTGGCACTCTGTCACTACTGTCACTGACACTGTGTCACTACTGTCACTGACACTGTGTCACTACTTTCACTGCCACTGTCATTTCTGTCACTGTCACTGCCTGCGTTACAGCGAGCGTGACGCAGCAGCGCGTGGTGACGCTCAGTGGAGGCCGGCCAGCAGTTGCAGGAGGACCCGCCCTGCAGCGCCACAGCAGCGTCTCCGCCCCTAGACCTCCCGCCAGGGGTGGCCCCGGTACCATTTTCTCATACTTTTTCGTATTTTTATTCATCACTCTCCATTTTCTGATACATTTTCATACCTTTACATATAGTCATCACGCCTCATTTTTGATTCGTACGTACTCAGTTTATCTTTGATTTTTAATTTCACTATGATATAGTCAGCTTCTTTAATACCTAGTGTTTGTTTTTGTGTGTTTGTTTGAAGCCCGGCTCAAAATATTTGGGTGTTGTTCGTGCGCGTTTCGACGATATTTTTTGTATCGAGATATTACGTGTGAGTGTATACTAGACAGAAGTTATTAAATTGGTACATTATATTAGTTTTGCTATTATTAATGAGACTTTGGATAAAGATATTCTATAATTGCAAAGAAACTTGACCCCGGACTAAATTGCTAGCAAAATATTTTTGAATTTACTTATTTCTTATTTACAAAATTTGAAAGCCTGACAATTGAAGGATAACTTTTCATTATCGACTAACAGGTGGATCGAGCTTTAGCTACATCAGCGGCAGCTCGGTGCGCAGCGTGCATATAAGCGCAGGGCAACCGCGTAGCTCCAGTGCGGCCACGGCCATCATCGGGAGAGGTGGTGCTGCGCTACGCTCCCCAGCTGGACGAGGTGTTGCGACCAGCCTATCGGCCAGGGGTGGTGGTAATGCTCGGTGAGCATCCTATGAATATCAAACATTTTGTACTGTAATTTCAACATAATTTTTAGTTCGCTTATGACGGCTATTACTATCGTTGATCTACATACCTAGAAATATCGTTTGGAATTACTTTAGTGACCGAACTAAATAGTGTATATAATTCATGAGATTTTTTTCTTCTTACTTGTGGCCTCTGACTTGACTTAATGTTAGCAATCAAGCCCATGGCATACGGTTTATTATCCCATATCCGATGCACATGTGCAGTCTCTGAGATCAAGCCTTTGTCCTCAGGTCTGCTATTCAAACGGTGCGAGTGCCTCCAAAGACACCTGTTGTTGGCTCCACTGTTAGTGCTGTGGTTGGCAATACCGTGAGTGGTGTGATTGGCAACACTGCAAGTGGTGTTGCTGGCAACACTTTGAGTGGTTTGGGTGGCAACACTGTGAGTGGTGTCAAGAGTAGTGCCGTTGTGAGCAGCAGTGTAGTTGGTGGTATCAAGCCAAGCGGTGTCAAGAGTGGTGTTGTGAGTGGTATAAAGACGAGTGGTTTAGTGAGTGGTGGTGTCAAAGCAAGTGGCGTGGTGGGTGGCGGCAAGAGTAACGTCATCGTGGTGCACAGAGGAGCTCAGATCACGCCACGACCTCATGCTACGTACCCCGCAGCTCCAAGGGTGAGGGAAACCTACGGTTATTCATTCTAACGATATTTCAAATGTTTATAATATTCGTCGCACTAAATAAAAATCTATGCTGAATTAGTCTCTTGTGTTTAACTTTTTCGTGATAAAATATATTTGTTATCTTCTTGTATTTGGTCACAGCCTTTCTTCTCAAAAACATATCACTCAACAAACTTTTCATTATCTGCATGTAACTGAAAACACATAGTGACAACCACAAGCCTGTTGTTGCTGACATCGAATTTCGAGTGCTTTTCATTACTATGCGTTCACTTTTAAATAAAAGATTTTAATTATTTTCAAAAAGCAGTTCTCAATGTATATAAACAACGTAGTATACATCAACTGTGCAAGTTTAGGATTCAATCGATTATGGCTCTTTAATTCTCTGTTGTGTCCTGTCAAATAATGAAGTTGGTACATTGTAAGATAGTCTCAGGATTCGCAGGGATAACAAATCACTTTAGTACAGCAATTTTTTAACCGGAACAATTTGTTACTTGTGTCGCCTGAAATGATTCGCAGGGATAACAAATCACTTTAATACAGCAATTTTTTAACCGGAACAATTTGTTACTTGTGTCGCCTGAAATTAAATTTTAAACAAGTAATAGTAGGTCTTTGATTTTGATTCTGTTTCGACTGCAGGATTAGTCGTTAAGGCTTTCAAATTTTCTTGGTTAGCAATAAGAACTTGCTTCTTTTCACTCTTGGCCTATGATGAGGCGTCACTGCTTGATGTAAAATCAAAGCATCAACGGATTTAGTGTCTAATTAAACTCGATCAAGGAAATACAACAACATTGATCGAGATTACGACTAGAGGATCGTTGTTTCTGACCCCGAAGAAATAGGTACGGGTATATTTTATTTTCATCCCCCAGCGTTCCTTATGGGGGTTTAGGTCAAGCATAATTTATGACGAAACTTATATAAACATTGTTTGACACGTGAGATATGAAGAATACTTGCCGACTAGAGGAAATTTCATTTACTTAAGTGATGACACTGAAGAGAAAATAGTTTAAACCATAAACGTGGGGCCTGAAGTTAGCGAAGATATAGCGACAAGGTTCACAGCTCGCAGGCATGATGCTGTTTGGTCGGCTGCCGGTTCAGCTATGAGCTTAATTATTTAATTAATAGTGCGCGGCGTTCTCCCCCGGCAGCAAGTTTAGGAGGCGATGGGCAATACACACTCGAAAGTGTTAATTTCCTATTCTTATGATAGACCCTTACTCCAATTAGTATTTACTCCCGTTTCGTAATGTTTGCTGTCTGGCAGGAGTTTGCTCGTTGGTCACGCTCTCGCTGAAACTTATTCAGCCTGTACCTTTATTGACTTATTCAGCCTGTGCCTTTGTGGTGTCGATGATAGGTCTAATGCATTCATTGGTCACTAAATCCAGCTTCAATATAGGCTGACTACCAGTAGGTACGCAAACTACTTTGTGAAGCTTCTCTTTTGTCTAAATCTTCTGCCGTGTTCGCCGTTTAGTCTCGTACGCCATCTTATCTTGTGATTCGTTATGCCTTGTGTATAACCTACCGCGTGCTACACCTGCTTCTCTACTAGAACGATCTTACTGGACGAACGCCGCAACACGTGCAGTATTTCAGATGGCTTGAAAATACTCGTAACTGATAGTTATTAATCACTTTTCAACCATCAAAGTGTCTATGGCACTTCGCTGCGACGCTCGTTAAAATGCTAGATCTCGTGGATAAATGTAGTTTTAGTTTGAAAAATTACAAGTTGGAAAGGAAAGCTGGTTTGATGTTTAAGGTGCTGTTAGTTCCGCCAGCTACTTGCATTAGTTTACTCTAGCATTTGTAAGTGATTATCCTGAGATTAAGAGTTCATCTTCATGTCGCGGCCTCATTGATAGAGATAATTGTAAAAATTTGTGAAATCTGAGATTGATAGTACAACAAAGACTATGGTTGAGAACAGGTTCCGGCATACCTTATCTCCACTGCATCGTAAAGAGAACAACCGTAAAGAGAGCGTCAACAAAAAAAATTGCCGACGAGTTCAGTGATTTGTAGCTACTTATGTAACTTCATTTACTGACGCCTTTCTCCAGGACATCTCGACGAAGATCACAATAGGGAAGACAAGTGGGGTGCTCCCGGCACGCGGTGGGGCCGTAAGTGGGGGCAGCAATCCTGGGGCTGGAGTGGGGCCATCACGCCAGCCTTCTTCACTCTTGAAGTCCTCGCTGCAACTGCCCATCTCCAGCAAACCTGGTGGGCCGTATTGATATTTTTAGGGGCCATACTTTCAAAACTCTTAAGTACACGTAGCGGCCTCATCACACGTAGCTGTCGTTCATAGTCTGAGATTGACGGGTTTAGCTTGAAAAGCTGACGGAGTTAGGAACTCGTAACTATTTTTGATAGTATGGCCCCTGGGATTGGTTTGCCCACTCTTGTCCTGCTGGTGAGCTTATCGTGATTCTTATACCTGGCATCTTTCAGTTATGCGCTTCTTAGTTTTACTGGTGACTTTATTTAATACAGTTAGGATTTTTGGTCTCCTCTTGGTTCGTCGTATGGGTGAGGCTACGTCCGTGTTATACACATATTCTTAGGGGTTTTTGTCAAAAATAAATAGATGCGCATTATTGGCACGATTTGTTCAACTTAAGCATGAAAGTATTAATAGCGACTAGCAACGGTGATGGTTTTACTTCACGTACATCGCATTTATTTTACGACAATCTTAAACTTCTCTTGCTCCAATTTTTCCAGGCACTCATTTATCAAGTTTATTCACTGGAGACCAGCGCCATTTTGGAGGACGCACCACGTCCCCCTCGTCCACCCTCGACCCCGGGGCGTCGTCCCTGGGGCACCGCAAGCTGGACGACGACTCTGAACACGACGCCCACCTCTCGGACGACTCGACCAGCAGCGGCGACGATGTCACCATCGCAACATCTGGGGGCGCTAGCGCCGGTCCCGGCTACCAGCGACGACCTTCTTCGTCACTTGGTGGGTTGTAGAGCTTACTTATACGACCAGGATGATATTGACTTGCGATATAGTTACATCGATATATGGTTAAATGACATTGGCTAATAAGGAAGTGATATTAAAGGGCTTTTTGGCTTCATAAAATAATCAGTGATTCTTTTCGAGAAGTTGATTCGAATCTTGTGATCTTGTGTTGGGCAAGCTAGAGTTTTTGGGATGCTGTCACAATCTTTAAAATGAAATCATTGTATAAGGTACTTATCAAGTGATAGGCATACCGACAACTACAACTGTATTTTCTTGAAATTTTTGACTAAACAAGGCTGAAAATAAAACGTGTACTGGAGTAAATTTCCCTTGATAATGAAAAGTACCTAAGATTAACATTAGTTCCTTATAACAGGTGGAATATCAACGAGCCTGTCGCGGAGCAATTCTCCTCTACAGCGGCTCCTGCCTTCTGCTGCGAGCCGCACCTCGTCCGCTGATGATGCCCATCTATCCTACTCCGTTGACATGAATGATGCTGATCAATCATCAGTGATGCGCAGACACTCCTCCCACCAAGCTTCTGTAAGCTACGCTTCCGCACCAGACGGTTCCACATCGACGGCAGAAAGTACCACAGGGAACGCAGAAAGTAGCACAGGGAACGCAGAAAGTACCACAGGGACGACAGAAAGTACCACAGGGAACGCAGAAAGTACCACTGGGATGACAGAAAGTACCACAGGAACGAGGGTATTTTCCCAGGGGAGCTTCTCGTCCGCAGACGGCGGACCCACACTGGAGCTGAGCGAGGACTGGATACCTGTGGGCGACTCTTCAGAGCATCTCCTCGGAGACGAGCGAGGAGTGGCTGTGGTGAATGCTTCTAATAACCTCAGGGACGGCCGCTGGCTTGGTAAGACCTTCCCTGACTTGGTTAGTCCATCTCTGGCTTGGTTAGTAACTTCCTGACTTAGTTAGTCATTTCGTGGCTTGGTTAAATATTTCTTCCTGGCTTGCTTAGTCCGTCCTTGGCTTTGTTAGTCCATCTCTGGCTTGGTTTGTATATTCACGTCATGGTTAGCCTATTTCTGGCTAGTTAAGTCCATTTTCCACCCCTTATGAGTTTGATGATGATATTTATAATTATTGGTAATATCTAGCTCGTTTGTACATGCTACTGTTTTTAAATTTGATGTTTCAGGTATGTTCAAAATCCCTTTTTTTTAATGCTTTATTAGCAATAAATTATAAGATTAGGATATTTTATTTAAATTATTTTAATTGAAAGGTTGATCGAGGTGTTCAGAGTGCTGAGAAGCCAAATTCGAGATAAAACATCTTATTCTGATATGATATATATTCTCATTTTAATCATATAGGTATATTTCATTTCTAATTAGGAAACCTTTTATTGAAAAAATAATTCTCACTATAGAGGAGGCGATGGAAGTTCTGGGCCGTGGTGACAAGGAGAGCGCACGGTCACTTCTGCTCCAGGCTGGCATTGAATTTCTAGATTCACCAGCTGATGCTGGATCAGGTGCCGCTGCTGCTGCAGCTGAGGCAATCGAGGCATCAGGTGCATCTTTCGAGACATCAGGTGCATCCTTCGACCCTACCGGTGCATCATTCGACACCACAGGTGCATCTTTCGAAACATCAGGTGCATCTTCCAAGGTATCAGATGGCAGGGGTGGTGCCATTATGCAGCCTACAACTGGTGACACTATCAGCGAAGCTCATGCTGACACGGAAGACACAGCGAGTAGCGAGACGAGTTCCAACGAAGATGAGGAGCCGAACAATTCAGAAAATCCTACGAAAATTCAAGCTAGTGTCTCAGAGATGTCGGGGCCTAACGAAGGCGGGGTTCGAGGCTCCCATGGGCTCCCTACATCGCCTCCACCAATGCCCGTGCGTTTTTAACACGTTTTTCTTAACTTAGCTTCGCGATTGTTTGTGGATTTGTTTGTTGTTAACATTGACAACGAAAATTAGCCCTAAAAATGTATTCTATGGCGATGCCAGATGTGATAATTGTGTGTTCAATTATGGGTTAATAGTACTGATATGTGTCCATATAATGTTTTCATATTGCTGATGTGTTTTTTATTTGAAGTATCTGGCAGAATGCGGTAGGGTCAAGAATATTTGTGTTAAAAATATTTTTAATGAAAGCAAATGTTGAGAATTTTTATAGTTTAATAAAGCGTCTCCTTGAGCATCTTTGCACTCATCGCGTGAGCGGATCTCACGTAGACACTTCCCTGTGCATTCAGCCTCGTTACCTGTCGTAACACTTGCCGGTGTTAATGCTTTTGCTCATTGTCTTAAATTGTAAATAGTGAGTCTTCGCAACATTGATCTCAATTTTTTTCTCATAACTCTAGAGAAGAGCTACAAGTTAAAACTAAGCAAAAGATGTCGGTTTTTAAATTATTCTATTTGTCGCTTGAAATTTGTAAAAAATTGATATTAGGCGCGATTATTCAAGCAACCTCAAATGCATGACTCGACTGCATACTAGATACGATTATTTCTACAACTATTCTACATACTTCACGTTAATTGCTTACCATTTAGTATGAATGCTATTGGCATGACACCAATTAAGCTCGACTAACTTCACACTATCTCTTCACTTGACCATCCTGGAACCCAGGAAGTTAATATTAGTGAAGTTCATGCTTTGTTGACAACCTCATTTGAACCATCACACCTTCCATCAGTCAATTCTACTGTAAATAATAATTTGCAGAGGAACTCCTGTAAACTATAATGCCTGCTTCTAGTTAATTTTACATTAATCACTAATACGTTGACAGAGCACCAATATTACAGTAACAAATAATATAGTATTAGGGCACTAATCTTAAAGTAATAAATAATACGTTGACAGAGCACCGTATCGTACAACGGAGACTCGGACGACGAGGAACCCCAGCGCATGGGTCCCAGCAGCAGCAGAGTGCATGTGGTGCCTTCTGCAGCTGGTGCCCCCCACCTGGATCCCACCACGGGGTACTTCCTCACCACTTCACCACTCTCAGGTTCCTCGTGTGGTGTGTGATGCCTTCTGTACCTTTCACAGATATTTATCTCTCGCCACTGGGTACAACTATTACCTCCAGCATTACAACTGATTTGAATTTATCCGTCTGAAATGTCTTGAAATTATGGTGACTGACGTAACTGAAATTGTTTTTAATTAGTTTGATTCATCAATGTTTTATGACGCCTGGTCTATAAGGATGCTCTGACGATACCGTGCTAGTTATTATTTTTTATATTTGATCATCAATTGATAGTGAACACTAGTGTAAATGTTACTAAAAGCTTTTGATTTTTGTTTACAGATGCCGCGTCTATGCGCGACACTGAAGAAGACGACAACGAGTAAGAAGAGCACGCTTCTGGTGAGGCTGCAGTCGCATTGAACTGATGTCCCTGGTCGACGATAATACTAAAATTATGCTAGCAACAGTTGTGAACGTGTATATGCTAAGCAGTTCGTGTAGCCGACTCTGTATTTTTTGTGTCTCTTTGATTACTGCAACTGTCAAAACCGTCTTGTTACTTTTAAAAATTAATGACATCATCATGTTATTCTTAAGTTGTATTTAATTCTCGCGTAGATTATTTACCCTATTGAGTCATCTTACAAAAATGTGTTATTCGAATTCATTATTACAAGATTTTCCGATAAATCACCCGTATTTGGTCTGGCGTGTTACCTATTTTTCCAAAGACAAGCATCCGTTTAGAAGCATTGCCTCTTAAAATTCCTATTTTAAATCTCTTGTGTTTATCATTCTATGAAAAACATTCTATTATGATCTGTTATAATATCTTAATTTGTAATCATCGTCTAATAATATTATTTATACCAACATGTCGCGGTTCTTTACTTTTAGTTTCGCAATTAACATTTGCTGAAGCTTGCAATTTCCATCTCTCCAATTGTTACAAGGAACCCTCTCGTGATTTTTTTTTGTAATATCTAAGTATTCATGAGTGCATCTAACACTCTTCTGTTAATTATATTAATTTCAAGATAAACGTATCTCTCTATTCTTATCCATGTTAAAAGTTTCTGTAATGTGTTCAAAGCATTTGTCTTGAAACTTTTATGAGATTTATTTGCTATCTTTAAAAGCTGTAACTTTCATATTTATGAGTAACCGAACTGTTGTACCTATTTTCCTTGCAATTGCTGCTGCAAAGACTTGAGATTGTTTTGTTGTTATTTTTTTTTTTAAAGAATGAACTTGGAAAAAATCTTGTGGCCGGGAATCTAATATAATAAATTATTAATTTATCTTCATTTGCTCCGTTTAAACACGCCCCGAACAAATTTTGTACTTGTGTGCCATTAGGCTTTGTTACAATTACGTGAATTATGAAATTTTCATTATTTAATGTATTCCAATGGTTCTCTGCACTATTTAAACTTTCACAGAATACATATTGATATAATATTAGAATGAGACACTTGCTTTAATTCTGGTCAAACTTAAGTTGGCGGTCCTTATTCAAGTTATTGTGTAACGTTGTGCTGTCTATTGAGTATGACTAATTTCAGGCATTAATTTGTAAAATATTTTTCGATAGATGTGCTGAAAGCAAATATTCTCTAGCTTAATTAAAAAAATTCCAATCTTGTACTTATCTCCCAAGACATCATAATTAGAAAATACTGAAAAAAAATTCACATCTATTACTGAATTTGAGGGAAAAATATGAAATATAGTTAGGCATCAAATCAATGCTTATAAGCCGCTTACACTTTCAGGTATGAGCCTGCACCACGGAGTTTCCTATCCCCAATTGCAAGCGGTGCTTGTCATGGGAAGATAGGTTAGACACGAAGACCTTCTTATTAAATCCTGGCTGGTTTTGGCCGTTGTTGGGAGTGGATTTGGCCGTTTTCTCGTGCCAGCATCTGGCAATCCTGGTGCAGGCTCAGCCCGAGCTCAGCCTTTTTAGGCTGCGGGCCTGCAACAAGTCCAGTGTTGCCAGATGGGCCCTTTTCAGGCCAAATTTCACGCAAATGTAGCCTTTTTTTGAATGCATTGACGTGACAAAATTCATTTGGCCTTTTTCGCATTTTTGGGCGTTTTTATGAAAAATAATTCTCTAATTCATTTATAATAATTTTGTCCTTCACTTATAAGTCAGTTTTGCCCTAGACGAATACACTCAAATTTCGACACGGAACTGTGTCAACACTTTGGTAGTTAAGTGGCAACACCAGCGAGTGGCACTGTGGCAGTGCCGCCTTTTCAACCATGTGCCGCCTAATCCGGGCTGCGAGCAACACTTCGGTTGAAACATGGGACAATATGCAGTTGCCTGCTCGTATTAATAACCATGGATGGCAGAGCTATGAGCGCGTATAATCAAGCATAGTTTTCACTTCCAAAGAGTAGTAAATTATGCACTCATTTTTGAGGTTAGAGCGCTGTTTCTCAATAGAATCAGCCCTCTGCTCTGGTGAGAGTCACTACAAAATCTCATTTTTAATGAATATAATAACTACCTACTCCTCTTCAAGTTATGATAGGCAATAAATTTTTTTACACGGCTTCAAAAGTTGTGAAAAATTTATGGGATTGACTTTTAATATTTACCTTAGTCTTGCAAGGACCACCTCATCTTTATAACGCAGAAATTAGTTTGTATTTATTTTCATCTTCCGCGTATAAATATTCTACCTTCAATGCCGAAAATTTCATCCTCTAACGCGGTTGAAAAGCTTTTTACGGTACCGGTAGTTAGGTGGCAATCGAATACTAAATATCATAGTTTATTTTTACCAGTATTATACGACTTTTTTACAGTCGGCGAGTAACGTGCAATTCGCTGCAGGCTGGCGCCTTATGTAGCATTGACGATAATTCAGCTCGTAAGTCGTAACACTTGGTAAAATCTGTGTATTTTTTGCTGTCTGAAAGCCTTGAGAGTAAATGCATGCAATCCAAATAGTTAAAACTACCTTAAATTTGAAAAAGTTAACTCTGTATCCACTGTAGGGAGTAACAGAGAGCACATTTCCTCGTCCGTCCGTCCATGAAGTCACGGACGGACATGACGAGCACAATAGCGCCTTCTTTTCTATACATGAGAAAATGCGCTAAACATTCTTTTTAATTTCAAATGGGCCCTTTTTGTGAGCTGAATTTGCCTTTTTCTCTTGGCTCCATCTGGCAGCCCTGGCGGCAACTCCGCTCCCACTGCACCTACGGTGGCAGTCCGGCAGAGTGGACAGTGGAGAGCCTGGGAGCGCAGCCGTGCACCACCAATTTTGTGCACCAATAGGCCCTGAATCGAACGCCTTGGATCTCTCTGGACCTACACCAATCAGCCGTGCACCACTCGGCTTTGTCTTCTTCCGGCCTTGACCGCCACCTGCCGTGCACCACCAAGCCGCGGGTCGAATATGACTTCCAGGCATCGTTAAATTACGTAATTTTACGTTCACCGCATCTGAGGTTAGGTTTCAGATAGCATAGTTCTGTTCCAAAATTTATCGTCCTTCGACAAGTGGCCGTTCGACCGAGGGCTGGTTCGATTACGTCCTAGACACGGACGGCTTGAAGTGTTGAAGGCTACGTTCCGGAAGGCAGGAATCATGATGGTCCATTACATCCATGGCAGTGGTGGTCTTTGGAAGGCGACCCGTGGAGCCTCATCGAACTCTAGGCTCTGGCTGAAGTGCCAGTCGCCAGACGATTAATCATCAGTAGTAATTTACTAGTGAGTAGTGACTCAGTAAAGATAACGGCGCTCCCGGCTCCGGCGGCTAGATCAGTCGGCAGTCGCTTAGGAAGTTAGGAAAGCTGCTGCAGAGTGCATTGCTGTTACTAATTTACTAAATCTTAAATGTGATATTGTGAAAAGACTGATGATGTCAGTCATGTCACTGGTCTTATCTTCAGTCTTTGACTGTCTTTCTTGATGCTGAAACAAAATATATGCTATTTTGGTTTTGTTCTAACTAAACTACCTAGACTGGAAGTGGACAGTGACTGGACACCGACACACCGTGACCTTTTTAAAGTTGAGGAATGAAGAAAATACATTAAAGTTTAAACCATTAACTCATTGAGCATGAGCATACCTACAGTCTGTCCATGCTGTCATGTGTCACTGACTGCTGAGCCTGGTTCTGTCAGTCCTGTGAGTGTGAGCCTGACAGCCTGTGACCGTGAGGCTGTGAGCAAGCCCCTAGTCTAGTGTGAAACCAGAGAATTTTTAAATCTCTTTTTTTTATATCCCTGGTCTATCAGTTCCTTTTCAATTTCCTTATTTACTCAATATTTAAACCAATATCTTGTACTTGTATAACTAGAAAGTCTAGAATACTAGAATCTAGATTAGCCTACTAGAATTTGAAATAAGAACCAACACCAGGGGCCATCATGCCATGGCTATAAACTAAAAAAACTGTGTTGTAACACATCCATGTGACAACATTTCTTCTTGCTTGGAGTCACCGACATTGACATGTGGAACAGCCTTCCTGAAAGCATTGTTAAACGCTTGGCTCCAAGTAGGCTATGAACGCCTTCAAAAAACAGACTAAAGCTATGCAGGAGCTAAGAAGCATATGTTCAGTCTTGAGATGCCTAGCACTAGCAACTTATGGACCAGGCAATAAGTCCAGCAGCTATCTCAATCAATTGTCAGTTGACAGTTATGAAAAGATTGGGTTCCAAAGGCCTGATTGGCCGATCCCTTGTGAATCAAGTTGCAAAAAGTTCAAATATTGGCAGCAGACCATGAGCCTATTTCTTCAATGCCAATTGCTAACACTTCTATTCTATTCTAACATAATGGTGGTAGTGGTATTCATGATAGCTTGATAGGCTACTTTGCTCAGCTCCACTATGCAGAGGGTGGATGCAGCGTCGCCAATATATGGATTTTTAAGCCCAAAGCGTCGCCGGTCATTTTAAAGATGCGTCGTCAGGTAATTTGTAATGAAAAGCCATTTACGCTGAGTAATGACAAACTATTTACAAGCCACGAACTTAGTTACAAGGTTGCATGCACGTGTTACCCCAAATAACTAATTTTACCCTAAAAACAGTCCGATTGTACAGCAAGTGTCAACTGAACATGTAATAAAGCAGTCTGACCGCTCTAATG